AAGTTAAACTAAGAAAATTCTGGAAAATAGTCGGCTCTATTCGATGATTATTCTTATTCTGTTGCATATAATACGATTTCACCGATATGAGGGCTTTATTGGATCAGGTTGGAGAAGGCAACGGATTGCCAGGGTTCCGATAAGGTAAGAGACGAGCGGTAGACAACGTCGCAAAAACATTAGAAATCTATGAATAAACCTCATGTTGATGTTGAAGATTGAGAGTATTGAGTTTCAATTTTTGGTTTTTGTTTTTTTTAGCTTTTGGGAATTTGGTTTCCACATTGCATTTCAAGTATTTGATTAAGCTGTAATTTCAAGTGTTTGATTGAAATAAAGCTAGAATTGACAATAAAATAAGATATTACATATACTGTTTCGACATCAATTTTGGTAATTCTTATCCCTCCCTTCACCATGTTGACAGCTCCGTTCACTTGGACGGAGGCATGAGATACCTCCGTCCACACTTGGATGGAGGCATGGTACCTAGGCACCATGCCTCCGTCCACTAGGCACCATGCCTCCGTCTTGAGGTCCTTGACTAATATAAAAAGTAATTTATCTTAAAATTACTTATGTGTAAATATTTGAAGCTCAGCCAAATATGCAAAGAGCTATATATATGTATATATATTATAACCTTCTCAATATCTTGCCTGTCAATTTCCCTCCCTCCCTCCCTCCCTCTCTTTACTGTTTTCTGTCTAGAATTTTAGTTCGCTCAAGTATTTTGAAATGTAATTCTTGGAAAAGTACTCATTTCCTTCTTGAATCCTCATTTCACCCCTTTTCAGAAGCAAAATTTGATTCGGAAACGTGATTTTTTTCAAAAGCAAAACTTTTTCTGTGATTTGGTTGAATTCTACAGTAATTCTCTGCATTTTCGTTGGGTAATAATTTGACTTTGATTTGCTTAAATCTGGGTGATTTTTCGAGGCTAGATTACTTTGTGGTCGGAAAATTTAGTTTTTAGGTGCATTTGAGCTTCAGATTTAGGATTTAATTTAATTTTGAAGCATTTATCCAATTTTCACTGGTGAGTTCTCAGCTTTTTTTTNTTTTTTTTTAATAACATTTTTTTATTTTCTCTTAACCAGCTAAAAGCCTGCAAACCGCATCACATGCTCGATCCTGACAATTTTTTTTTACCCGTTGAATATCTTTCATGTTTACAAATGAATTTCTCTAAAATTTACATATATTTATTCTAGCTAATAAGTGGAAAAATTGTGTATTATTTGTGGCTAACATCATCATCTGTGATACCTTTTTGGATTATTTTTTATTTATTCATTAGTTTTTTACAAATCTATCCCACAGATGAAAATTGGGCGCTTACACAAATTGCATATTTTCTGTCTTTAAGTTTCATCTTTAGTTACCATCGAATATTAAATTTTTCTTCATTTTGTCTTATTCTCGAATACTATATATTATATAACTATAAATCTAATGCAATTTGAATATCTAACAATCACTCCACACTATTAAATAGCCAACTATATTCAAACACGTGCATCAACTAGTATTAATTAAAAATATCTGATTTTGAAAAAAGCAAACTTTGTACCTAATTTTGGAAATGTGAATACATAAACTATGGTTCTGAATAATTACCACAACAATTAATACACATTGGATGGCCCATTTATTGGTATCCCTGGCCCAATTGAATGCCTAACTAATGTCCTCGTATAATCCCTTTGGCTCCAGCCATGTTTGTGGGAGTGGGTGTCTTGCAAGGGAGGGAGAGAAACGAGAGAAAGAGAAGGCAACCGAGAGATGGTGAGGCAGCCGGGTTGGGTAGCTTGTTCTTGGTGATTTCAACCACCTTTTTCTTCTCCTCCTTCCTCCCTACGTGACTTGCATATACCACCACCACCTTCCTCCTTTGTGGGGGTGAAACTGGAGGCAACAATGTGTAGAGGGTTGTTGAGTCGAGCCGGTTGATGTGGTGTTCGTTTGGAGTTTTTCTGAGCCCGAAATTTGGTTATTGGAGCCCCAAAATCCTAACAATCTTCTTTTGCAGGCGAGTTTGTTTATTTCTCATATAGTCGTCTTTAATTTTGCATTGCAGGGTGATAGTATTGTATTGTGCAGGAGTTAATATGTTGCAATTATATAGTGTGATTGACAAATAGTTGTCTGATTGGCAATAGGAAACATGCCAATTCTAAACAGACAAGTTTTACCGTTCTTTAATTCTTTCCAGTAGCTGATATTTTTATTCTCCCTAGAAATCTCTTTGAGACAGCAAATACATTTTTATGTTTGTTTTACTAAGAAAAGATAATTCCTAGTAGTCTTTGTTGGTTGTTTGTGGACACAAATAAGAAGTCTAAGGATTCAATTTCTAAGTGTCACACTGCTTATCAATCATCAATGCAATAGTAAAATATGCTAACATATGAATCCCAACAAGATGCTCAATTAGTTCAGCAACAATCCACATTTCAGTATTTTCTGGGGCTTCAAATATGTGAATTCTGATACCTCATATATCTGCAACCTTGCTCCACTTTTGATAAATATCATCCTAAATGGAAACTATAGGGACAACTGGCATGGCAAAACGCTTGAAACCTTCTGTAAGTTTCTCCATCATTTTTTGTTTCAAAGCATTAAGATAAAAATAGAGAATATAAGTTCAATTTTCTAATGACCTATCAATTATTTGGTTGAAGAGAAGGAAACGGAGGTGGAAGATGGAGCTATTGTAAAGGTTTCACGAGAAAGCGAGTCGGGCTCTTTGTATTCCTAACAGATGGAAATGGATTCTAGAGATGATTGATCACTTTACTCAGGTGGTAACAGTCCTTAATACTGCGTATCATTGACTTGTCATGAATTCATATAAGAAAGCTCTCTGCTTTTAGAGTAGAGAAAATACCTGCTTAAATGTTCTAAATATTATTTCTATTTGGAAGTCTTGTTTCTGCAATATGTTTGCCTATATGCATACTTCTTACTGTAATTTCATGAAGGTGTGTAAGTTGCTGGAATCAGGGAACGCAATGCTGAAAGAACTGAGCAATGAATTTGAAGAACAGATGATAATGTGAGTGATTAAAAAGATCTACCCTTCTCATCACCGAGGGTGAGGTTTTGATACGCACTTTCCTAATGGCAGAATACACAAGGAACGGATGAAAAAATTGCAGGAGGAAATCCAAGAATTGCGCTTGCTTCAGAACATTCATGGTAGAACCTGAAGGTAAGTTTAGATACTAGTTACAAAGAATAGGAACACAAGTGGACTGATTTTAAGCTGATAAACTTTGGTACATTTAAGACATTGCACCTTTTCATGTCAGTGTAAACTGCATTCTGTGTAGGCCCCTTGCTTGGATAGACTATTTTCAGCATTCACAGGTTGATTCTTGCAGAAATAACATTTCTAATACTTGGCTTTTGTAGAATGTATATCTGGGAGGCTTTTTATTTTTTATTTTTTTAATAAACCAGAAGGATAAATCGTGCTGGTATGGATCTAAGGGTTAATAGTTTGGCAGTTGAATTTAGATTTGGAACCTTTGCTGTCAGTGACTTCTGCATGTCTCCTTCTGAATATTGAAATAATGAATATGTTGAAATTAGATCGTTTAAATAATTAAAGGCTAACTGTAAAGCTGGTTTGCACTTACCGAGAATGAAGTGATAATGCAGAAGTACTGAATGTAACAGATTATGCCAACACGTAGAGTTTCTCATTATGTTGAACTGTTATTTTGAGTCACTCAACTATCCAATATATGTTGTGTTCTATTCATTTGACTTCAATTAACTACAAGTGCAATTGTTATTATCCTGCTACATGATGGCATTCAGTGGAAGAACATACATTCATGTTGGTATGGCTTTTATGACATAGAGATTCTCTTTCATTTAATTTTTTAGATTCCCTGCCCCAAGTTGGAATTCTAGGAGCCCAAGTCAAGCATTTTGCCGAAATCAAATCCCATTACTAAAGTTTAATTTCCTTGGATTCCATTGAACTCGGGATTATTTATCCACCTATTTACATCCATGATCAAGGGAACTATCTTTCTCGTGGATGAAATGCAACTTCTAAGATTTTCCTTCGCCGCGTTGAGTTAGAAGATTGAACTCCAGTTATTATACAGTATCACTATGTTATTAGAGTTTTTCTCTTTCAGCACATTTTAGTATCAGCTATGCAGCATGCTAAGTTGTCAATGCTTCCTGTTTTTTCATGTTGCTAACTATTTCCGGTTCTAAGTTTTAGTCAATCATTCTAAGGTTAGTTGCAAATGTGAAGGAGAGAGAAATTACTGAAATCTTATTTTTGCTTAATTATTATTAACAAGTACGACCGACACCTCATAGTACTTCCCGATTGCATACAAATGGTCAACTTCTTCCATAGACTTACTCATACATATAAGGTGAAATTTTCCATAAACTATGTCTTTGGAAGCAGATGTGGCCTATGCTAGGACAACAGTTTCTACTGCAGCAGATTGGATAATTGGCTCAAATTCTCCTCCTCTTCTTCTTCCCATATCTCATGCAGGGCTTTTGTAATATTATGAATGCTATTTAGAGCATAATCTACTCTTGGCACCAAAGTTTTTCATACTTTGTTGCATTAAAATAGGTCAGCGAAAAATTGGTTAATTTGACGTTAGGAAATTCATGAACTCACGACGACTGTGTGAAGTCCAGCAGCTTTTCCGTACTCTTCCGTCAAAGAAGTGTGAAAGAGAGAAAAAAAAAAGAACGAGCTTTTATCTACTATAACATGTTTCATATACAGTAACAGGCATGAGTAAGACACAGCCGGACATTACATTGATAAGATTTTTGGCATGTTGGCTAACATGTTTGAACTTCTTTGTTAGAATTTTTTCAGAAAGTGTTACTTTTAATTTTTATATGCTTAGCCAAACATGCTCATTTTGCACTTGATACTACATAATACTATCCCGTCCACCATTCTAAACATGCCATCACAGTATAGGCAAATACTTGGTTCATTAAGTAGGTAAGTTTTCAGTAATTACTGTTTTTTTGGGATCACCCTTGGCAATGGCAATGGCAGCTTCCATTGCCTGTACAGAAGGTTTACACAGAACTTGTGTTTCAACATTTTCAATTTGTACTTCATTCATCCCTTCTATGCTTGAAACATGTCCCAATCCCATAGGAGGGTTAAGAGTTTCAAAGCACATGACACCTTGGAAACAATCTTGCAAACCTAACCGGCTCAAAACTTGAGCTGCATGAACTTCATCAGCATTGGTGAAGATCTAAATCCACAAAAACATACAATTTGAATTAAAATTGTGTTCGAGAAAAAAATATGCTATAATAATTTGTAAAAAGATAAAAATTCATGCATTCGTGCTAATACTTTTTGTTGTTGGGTGCATGAAAAGCAGGAGATTGCGCAATACTAGATTGGGTTTTAGCAACTCGTATGGCAATCTTCCGTGGACTTGAGCATAAAACTTGTCATTCTTATCAAATTCATAGCAAAGACAAAGGATCAAAAGGTTGAATAGGTTATAATAAATTAGGGAATAAATATACCAAAAAATTGAGAAAGTACTTTAATTGTTAAAATTAATTAATGTATGAAGCTAAGAGAATTTTAAACTTAACATGTATACACAGACATGGAGACATATTACAAGACCAATTCTGACCTTCAATTTCTAAAATTGATCATTAGAATTGCAAACATTAAAACAACACATTCTAATTTAAAGATATTATATTGATTTAATGACGATTTTTATACATAACCAAATGCAGACTTTTTGACAAATCTGTGAATGTAATACAACTTATTAAAAAATATATTCAATTCTGTGACATTATTGTGAGATTTTGGCTTCAAATTTGAAAATATTTGAACCAGATTCAGTGAGTTCTCACTTCCAGTTGAGTGAAGAAACTACAGTGTATTTAAGTCACGGACGTCATTGGTATTCTTTACCCATCCTCAATTATTTGAATTTCTTTTCAATTTTTTTATAAGATTTCAGTTACAAATTGTTATTTGAGTTCTATTATTAGAAGTTAGTATTTTTTTTATTATCTTTCATATTTATATATATAAAGTATTTTTAGTAATTTAAACATTACGTAGTAAAATATGAAATAATATTTTGTAATAATGCATATACGAATTTTTCCGTGAAGTATTCCCAAATGATTTTAAAAACTTAAAAAGGCTTGAAGGGTGTCCATTTTCAATATCAAGCAATCCCACATCAAAACTAGGAAGAAAAAAGGTTAAAGAAAGAACCTATAGTGGAGAGACAATAATTTCCGGGCCTCTAACATTTTTGACATTGGACCTAGAAATTTGATTTCTTTCTTAAAAAACGAACCATTCAAATCGGAAAAATCGGTGTCGGGTCACCAGTTTGCGGTTGGACCTCGATTTTGACAAAGTTTTTCCAGTTATTAGTTTAAAGAGTTTTATGTCATAATCAAATCGGTTTACTAGCCAGTTTCCGAGTTTTTAGGTTGAACCGATTGGTCCGATCCAATTTCAACAACATCGTTAAAATACTAGTTTTAGTTCGTTGAGCAGAGGTACGCTAAATCTTTAGAGCATCGTGAACCTCGCATTTTTTATTATTATTTTTTTGACAAAAATAGGAACCAATATAATTAACTCACGTCTCCACGAACTGTGGCAGACTCGAAAAAGGGGAATACAATTTGGTAGGTTCACAAGTCATCGATTACCCTAACCATTGAATCTTTCGAGAAAATTTTAATGAAAAAACTAAATTGGGTCTAATATTTTTTTCATCTCTAGGGTGTGAGAAAATTAACATGGACTCGAAATTTGTCTTGTATATTGGAAAAAGTACAATAATCAATTTTTTTCATCTCTAGGGCTAAATTGGAAAAATGTGTCACATATACAAGACAAGGTAGAATATATTGCCGACTAGAACCTCAAGAAAAATCAACTTTCACTTCAATTTAAAAAAAAGTACAGGTGGCAAAATAAAATTATCGCCCTTCAAAATAACTACTATTTATCCCTAAATGTCAAATTCGTTATTTCTTTCTAAATTTATTGGACCTTTGCTAAGAACCGCAAAAGTACACTAATTTTTCTCTGAAAATTTAATCGATACCTACAATCCTTTCCTTTAAATGATCAATGCAAAGATTTCTTTACGTATTGCAATATTATCGGACAAATATTTTTCACTACTTCATTTTAGATCTCAAAAGGGGTAACATCATGGGGAATATTATATATCATAATCAATTTTAGGGTATGCCCACTACGTTCCATATAATTATGCATAAAAAAGTCTGTCGTAAGATAATAAATATTCAAACTCCAACCTGAAATTATTAGCATAGATAGCATTGTCTTTATGGGGACTGCAAGGATTTGCCATACCCATCCCTATGCAATCAACATTTGTAACCATTTACTATAGGAGAACACAAACCCTATGTTTTGGATCACTCAAAATTCACAAGTACTTTGTTTCCACATCAACACCACAAGTTATGACAAAATTCAAAATTTTTTGAGACTTAAAATTCTCAAGCAATTAAAGAATAATATAAACGAGATCAAACTATTTCAAATATCGAAAAAAATTAAAAACGTCTATTTTTCTCAAATACAACTGGTACTAAACATCTATCGAGATGACATATTTAAATCCATAATTCTAAATTTAAAATATCTTGTCACTCAATAGCACTTAATGCTGGTAGTATGCGGTTGTTCTAAATAGTAAATAGTATTATTCTTTTGACGAATTGAATGTTTATTGGTTGGGGGACCAAAAATGAAGAAGCGCCCATATCCATTCCATTTGCAATTCATTGATGATTTCATCGTTGTTATCACAATTTTTTAGTAATGTAGGTAAAAAGGATTTGTTAGAAATTCTATGACAATCTCAAATAGGTAAAGGTAATATTCTCTACGATAGATTTTACTTTAAGGTTCAATTTTTGAAACGCTAAATAATTTGCTTAAAAGTGAATTATCATCTGTAAAAAATAATTAGCATAATTAATTTTTTCACTTACAAATGCCAAAAATAAATTCATACCTTTATCTTATGCCCACGTTCATGCATTTCATCCCATCTTGAGATTTGAAAAGTTAACTATAACAGGTGGAAACAGAGAACTCCACGCTCCTAAGAGAGTGCGTGGACAAAAATATCTAATGCCCATCATCCATTCAAATACTATTTTCAATCGTTCACTGTCGCAATCGTATCGTGTAACATAATTAATCATTCGTTTGTCAAGAACGTTGATTGAACCTTTGCCATATCTCGCAAATCAATTTACTGTCTGATTTTGACATGCAAACAAGGAATTTTAAACTAACCATCGTAGAGACAATTAGTTTTTTATTTGATTAAAGGCTAAATAAGTAAATTAATACAGCATGAAAATAAAACTTTGCCCTAATCTTCCTATAAATTTATGTTATTCGCTCATCTTTCCTCTTCCCCATTTATATTGTTAAATATTATAGTAATTTTTATTATATATTTTGAATTTACAATGGAAATTTTGACAAACAATTGTAATTTTTAGTAAAACGTGTGATTAAAAATTATGGAAAAAATTTGAATTTACGTGCAAAATATTTTATTGTATGAATACGTGGTTGAAAATGAGTATGTAAAAAAAACTTTTAATATAATGATTATCAAAATAGAGGTTCGGTAATAAAATGATTATCAAAATGTAGCAAAAAGCCCCTCAACCTATTACTTTGGAGGTAGGATTCTTGAACATTTTATAGTTTTGTAAATAACAATCAACGTCTCCAACCAATGGTAATATTCGTACTTCTGTCCCCAGTCATATTTTCATAAATTATGGAAATTTTGTAATTTTAAGAAAAGTTCGACTGCTGACCCAAACGTTATAAAAATGTAAAATTGCAGTTAAGATACCAAACATTTCATTTAGCTGCAAAAACTTAATTCAAACATTTCATTTGTGCAACCTGAGACACCAAACTTTAAAAAAATCGCAAGTCCAATCCAAATTGATTGTTTCCATCTGTTTTGACTACCAAAATCGTCAGTTGACCCCAGAATGAAAAAAAAAAATATTTTTTTCCCAAATAAATAAGGACAATCCAGGCATTACACATTTTTTCCTTCTATTATTGCATTTCACTGACAATTTCCCCTTCATTTTTATCACTATTAATATCATTCTTTCTCCTACAGTTAATCAGGAAAAATCTACGTGGCAAACAAATTCTCCAGTGGCAAAACATACCTTCGAATTCTCCCAACAAGGGATGAATGGAGGGTGTCATAACAAAATTCAATAATATTTCAGTAACTTTAGAAATTTAAATGAATTCCACACGACGCGATCCAAAATTCCATTTTTTATTTACTTTAACTTAAAAAAAGTACACTAAATGTCAAATTCGTTATTTCTTTCTAAATTTATTGGACATTTGCTAAGAACCGCAACAAGTACACTAATTTTTCTCTAAAACTTTAATCGATACATACAATCCTTTTAAAGGATTTTCAAATAATGATTATCAAAATAGAGGCTAAATAAGGAGGATTTTCTATTTTCTACCTATTAAAGGAAAATTACAGCAGAGGTAATGTAGCAAATAGCCCCTCAACCTATTACTTTGGAGGTTGGATTCTCAAACATTTTATAGTTTGGTAAATAACAATCAATGTCTCCAACCCATAGTAATATTCGTACTTCTGTTCCCAATCATATTTTCATACATTATGGAAATTTTGTAATTTTAAGAAAAGTTCGACTGCTGACCCATACGTTATAAAAATGTAAAATTGCAGTCTAGGAACCAAACATTTCATTTAGCTGCAAACTTAATTCAAACATTTCATTTGTGCAACCTGAGATACCAAATTTTAAAAAAATCGCAAGTCCAATCCAAATTGATGGTTTCCATCTGTTTTGACTACCAAAATCGTCAGTTGACCACAGAAATGAAAAAAAAAAAAAAAAAAAAATTCCCAAATAAATAAGGACAATCCAGGCATTACACATTTCTTCCTTCTATTATTGCATTTCACCGACAATTTTCCCTTCATTTTTATCACTATTAATATCATTCTTTCTCCTACAGTTAATCAGGAAAAATATACATGGCAAATAAATTCTCCAGTGGCAAAACATACCTTCGAATTCTCCCAACAAGGGATGAATGGAGGGTGTCTTAACAAAATTCAATAATATTTCAGTAACTTTAGAAATTTAAATGAATTCCACATCTGCGCTAGGTTTTAAGGTAAAAAATTTTTTTAATAATGAGCGATTCTGTATGTTGTCAGTGAACCAAAAAATTGTTTTCTATTTTTGTTAGATATTATATACTAGTTCTACAATTACAAGGGATATTATACGTACATCGAGCAACTTCATAAACTCCAATTTGTGCGCTTTTTTTTTTGAACAATAGTATTTACAATTTCTCTATTTTTGAAAGAACTGGAATTTTTTAGGATAATGTTACATAAACTTAAATGTTGACACACTAGTTTACATCATGGTGAGTTGGCAAATTTTGATACATTGATTTTAACAACAATTTTTTTAATGCATGACTAGATTTTTGACACATAAGGAAGTATAATCCAAGATATAGAGAATAAGCTTACAAGTAGATTAATCATTTTTGGATTCTTTTTAATGCTTGTAATTATATTATTGTTTACGTAATCTTTTACAAATTGATAAAGCATCAAAAGAAAGTAGGATTTTTTTTTATTTGGTTGATGAGATTTTGACAAGATCAAATCTCACCACATCATCTGTTGATAAACAAATGTGCAAACACCAAAATTTGACACCTTGAAGCTCAAACTTGTAGTTTTTAGTTCTCATTTCAGACGTGGAATTATCCTTGAGAATATGCCATTTTCCATATGATTAAAACTTGGTACGTTGTGGACCTCTGGTTGGTTGGTGGGTGGTGGTGTTAATTGTTACATTGTGCTATATTGACAAAAAAAAATTCAAATTTACATTTGACAGAATTTCATTGACAGTTGAATAAAAGATAATTTTAACACATTCAATTACAGGCTACCATCTCAACCCTTGCAAATTGTTCAAGTAAAATTCGCTATACAAGGTGCTTATTCCTAATTGTTATGCTTCAAAAAACTGTCATAGCATTCGTCATTGTCAGTTTGACGGTCCAGACTCATTGGAGCTCTACTATTTAAACAAGGTTCGGGACAAGGGATTGAAAACACCTCAGCCATGTTTAAATTACTTATCTCCAGGCCTATTTGAGTTGCATTAATCGACTTATTGATTGCAACGGCCCCACCATCCCTTTTACATTTTCGTTTCATTTTTCTTTTTAAATTATGGTAAGCCATTTTTTGGTAAGTTCTGTTTATTTCAGTTTCTTATAATAGAAACTCGGATTCTTTTTAATTTTTTAAGCATAAAAAGGACGGGTTGGGGGACCCATGGTCCCTTCCGTTCCCCACCCTGCGAATCCAATCCAGGAATGGCAAAAAATCTGATATCCGCGGGGCCCCGCCTCGGGGATAACCCATTTAATCGGGTATTCGGGGTAGGGACAGGGCGAGGAATTTTACCCCGCAGTGGGTTTGGAACGGGACGGATAACGAGTGACCCGCCCCGCTACGCCACGCCACGCCACGTTGATTTATTTTTATATATTTTTTAAATTCAATACTTTAAATAAAAATTTTCACAAAATTTAATTGATTCTAATAAAAAATAACAACTAAAATTATTTGTTTAAATCTAATTAATATGGACAATAAAAATAAATTATCAAAAAAAAATTTAATGGGTAGTAAACAGGGTAAGGGATCGTGCCCCGCCTTAAGTGGGTAACGGGGCGGAGATGAGGAGGGGAATTTTTTAGCGGTGCGTGATTTATTTGCAATTTTTAGATTTATTATTCTTTCAAATAGTATACAAAATTGTTTTGGGATAATCCATTTGATTGCTGTACATATTGATGCTCCAGTATCTATAAAAGTTTGAACTGTAAATTTTCGGGCCCCCCGCACCGCCTCGTTGCCATCCCTAATCCGATCAAGCAAGGAATCCTGCACCTGTTTGGGGTGAATCGGGTGAGGATCAGGTTCTGTGGAAAGTTTAACTGCATCTAATTTTCAAGAGTTTTAAAGTGTGATCATATAAACCTAAATCTTAGTCCAACCACAAAAATTGAGTTAAGAACTATACAGGGTCTTAAGATTATCTAAATTTGTTTAAACTACAGATTTAAATATTCATTAAAGTTCATTGAAAGTCAGCAGTACTTATTATTATTATTATTATTTTTTTTTTTTCCATTTCAGAATCTAGTATTTTAAGTATTTATTCCCCAAATTCTAGTATTCTACCAATCTAACGTACCCCATAGATCTGGATAAAACCCACTTGGGCTGGGCTGCCTTATGGGTCTGATATCTCTTAGAAATTAGAGGAAATTACACCTTGCCCT